AACAGAAAAGGGTCCATTGAAAATGTAACGTATGTTTAAAATAATTTTACAGGCTGATTCCTCTCCATTATGCATGGCATTACCTTTGAAAACTAGGGCTTGAGTGAAACCCATGCTGAGCACCGAGAAGGGCACAGCTGTAAAGGAAGCATGTTGAAGTCAGACTTAAGAAGACAGATTTCCTTTTAGCTGTGTTTTTTAAAACAACATAACACATTTAATATGTCTTGTATGTGAAAGAGAGAGACTTACACCTGTACCAAAAGCTTTCCTGGGCGCACTCTTTAAACACCCTCTTCTCCTCTGTTGTGGGGATGTACGAAATGCCCATAGGCTCCTGAAGATAAACACACACACAGAGTTAGCTTTAATTCTGTTAGTTAGTTCATTCGCACTAGGCTTATTGGCAAGCGAAATAGGCAGCCCCACCTCACAAACTAATAAGCTTTCAACAGCAGACAACCCTATCCGCAGTTCATCCAAAGTTAAAGCTAGCCAGCTAACACGTTAGCATCCCAACGCGTGTTTATGGTTGTGTTTACCTGTGCTACCTTTTGCGTACCCTCCTGTGTATAACCTGCGGTGGTGGACGACATGTTGACGACAATATCCGGGCCTATTTAATGTTTCAAAGCATGTGAAATAACAAACTGTAAGCCACTTGGCGGTCTGGCTTCTCTGTTTGGTACAATGTCATTGCTCCAGATAGCAGCACTGACATAACCCGGAAGTTAAACAATATAATTTGAAGGTGAAGCGTGTAATTGTTGTTGTCATAAAAATATTCAGAGCTCATGCTTTTTTACAAATGATCATACATACTATACATGCACATAATCCTAAACAATTGCATAAATTAGACAAATGGGCTTTTAAATGGGTATTTTATTTTGAAAATGATAGTCTCATTGAAAAGGTATTCGACCTAGGCCATCTAGTGGTTGTAGCCTAAATAACAGTGGAATATCTTTTTGGTATAATAATGGCAATATAAAGTAGTAGTGTAATAGTTATAGTAATAGTAAGTCGTAGTAAAAGTTATATGATTATGAATAGGCTATTGTATTTATTGTTAACAACTAAGCCTTTGCATTGTAGGCTAATTGCTGCACAAGTTATACAACTGGACGAATAACATAACATTACATACATTACTTTACACTATTCTCTTACATTTTTATATTTATATTTTTATATTTCACACATTCACTTTCTTTAGTTACATAAATAAGTAAAACATTTCATTAAGTATCAATTGCATAACTATTTTTGCTTACACTGTGCTGCAGTAACATGTTTGATTCATTTTGCATCTACAAATGACGACAACAATTAAAATTAAAACAATAGTATTCCAGTTATTTACATCTAAACAATGTCAAGACGTTGCCAATAGGGAATAGGAAATGTTGTAATGGCATTGTATGGTGTCTAGGTGATGCTGTTGATACTGATTGAAAAGGAAGACTTTGATTGCCTCTTACATGTGATTGCATAAAGTAGTAGAGCTAATATTTTATGCTAGTGCTGATAGTATCTAAAAAAAAGTATCTGTTTAGACAAAGCAGGCACGAAGAGACAGAGGGGTGATTATGAGTGACTACACAATCAATAGGCTTACATTTATTGATAAAACTAAAAATAGAGGTGTATATTTTCCTTTGTTGTCCCAGTTATCCTCCATTCAATATTACTGGCAAAATGACATGAGAAGAAGTGCTAGAACAAAATTAATTTGTGTTTGATCTGTGGTTGTGTGTGTGACAGAGGAGGGCTATGATTAATTTTTGTTCACACACTAGAGCGGTTTAGGGGCCGATCAAATGTAAAATTGGCTGCATTTTCACTGTAGAGGGGGACCTGTGATTAATTATTGGGCTAAGAGTCAATTATGTCTTAAATGCCTCACATGAGAAATGTAAATCTTTTAACAAGTCTTAAAAGAGGCAAGTTTAAAATGTAAACCCATCAAACACTTGTATGCCTTCAGCTTTGTAGTGGTAGAGTTGTAGTCATGTGAAGCATAGTTCCTTTATAGCCTAATATAGAGCTTAATATACAGTAGCTCTAACCTTCTAAAAGTCGTGTTTATACTTCAGAAATTATACATTTGGTGTTCATATGTGAAGATTATGTAAAATATATAAGATTCAATGGAAAAACCCCATTGGCTTTTTGTCCCAGGGAACCAGGGTGGTTCTAACCTTTGGGTTGGCCTACATCACAAAACATCATCCCTCCAGGACTCTGCATATATTGATCGGTGTTTCCCAATGCCAACAATGACATCCTCAAATGTTTTTCTTTGTCCAGAACTCAAAGACATTCAAGTTTACTGTCATAAAGGAGTTATGACCTGACAATCAACATCGGCACCTCTGTTGTTTCCCCGACTCAGACTGCAAGGAATCTGGGTGTGATCCTAGATAACAACCTGTCCTTCACTGCAAACATCGCTGCTACAAACCGTTGCTGCAGATACACGCTTTAAAACATCAGGAAGATACGTCCCCAGCTGACACAGAAAGCGACGCAGGTTCTGGTCCAGGCTCTCGTCATCTCACGCCTAGACTACTGCAACTCCCTCCTGGCTGGTCTACCTGCATGTGCCATCTGACCTCTGCAGCTCATCCAGAATGCAGCGGCTCGTCTGGTCTTCAACCTTCCTACATTTTCCCACACCACTCCGCTCCTCCGCTCCCTTCACTGGCTTCCGGTAACTGCTAGAATCCACTTCAAGACACTGGTACTTGCTTACCATGCTGCGAATGGATCTGGCCCTTCCTACATCCAGGACATGGTTAAACTGTACACCCCAGCGCGTGCACTACGCTCTGCATCAGCCAAACGACTCGCTGCACCCTCGCTGCGAGGGGGACCCAAGTTCCCATCAGCAAAAACACGTGGGTTTGCTATCCTGGCTCCAAGATGGTGGAATGAGCTCCCCATTGACATCAGGACAGCAGAAAGCCTGCACATCTTCCGGCGCAGACTGAAAACTCATCTCTTTCGACTCCACTTCGAGCGATAGAACTATTAACAAATAACTGCTAACAGAGCACTTATATACTAATAAAGGACTGGCTTATCTATAACCAGTTGAGTAGCACTTGAAATGTTTGGCTCTATGAAACCTGATGTACTTATATGATTCTGTTTTCTTCAAGGTTGTGTCTTCCTGGTCGAATGTACTTATTGTAAGTCGCTTTGGATAAAAGCGTCAGCTAAATGCAATGTAATGTAATGTAAGAAACCAAGATATATTTACATTTAAAAGGCTGAAATCAAAGAGCTTTTCTAAACGATCTCTCAAAATGATTAATGGATTATCAAAATAGTTGACCATTCCGTTAATAGTTAACAAATAATGGATTCATCTTTAAAACTCCATTGTGCATTGAGATGTTAAAGTACAGTGATAGGGACTGTATGTGTGCACACCACTCAGAGACAGAAAGATAGAAAATATTTCCCTTTTTCTTTTCTTTATTAATTTCTTTATAGTCTTTATAGTTCCTTTATAAATTCATACAAATAAAGCATAGTGAATTGTAGATTTCCTCACCAAACATTTTCCAGTCACAGCTTCCATGTGGCCGAGGCTGACTTTTGTCCCTCTCAGTTCTTTGTGCCATCATCAACAGTTTGATGGGGCTAAAAGTAAGTCGTTGATGTGTTGGAAGTATTGAACAATGGGTAGCTGTATTAAGAGAATCAATAGATGGCTCCAAAAAAAATCTCATCATGTGCCCAAAATAGAACATAGTGCACATCCGGCAACCCCCTCACTACCCCATGCGGTCTATCTGTTAGGATAAACCTTTAGGGAGTCATTCTCGATGACACTCCTCTCACATTGGACCACCAGCTGGAGCCAGCATCACTGAGGGCTGTGGAGTACTTTTGTTAAGGCCATACAGGAATTCGTTTTTTAAATGGATGGACATATTTGCAAAACGGACCAACAAACAATAGAACCTTATATAAATCTCAGGCCTAAAACCAGGCGTTTTGGTAATAACAGCAAGTGTAGGTGCAGGTGAAGGTAGACACCACCAACTCAGGACTTATCAGGGACCATGTGAGGGGGATTGCAACACAACCTGCAGAGAGATTACAGTTAACAGTTGAAGGTAAGACTAAGCAAGGTTTGAAAGGTGCGGTCATCTTATCCATGTGAGGGAACTCCCTCTGTGATGTGAACGGTGCACATCACACTCTCCTCTGCCCTCCACGCACCTCAACCTCCAATCTTTAACTCTATCTGCGTGGAGGTAGCACGTCTAAACCTGAAGCCCAGGTGAGCTCAGCACACACAGGGAGCATGGACTCGCTCGGCCAGCCACAGGTGAGGACAAGCATAGCTTCTATTGATCTGAATGATGTATAAACTGTTTCATATTAATTTACTATTTGAGATTGAATACAATACAATAAATTGTATGTATTAAGGGTAAATAAATCACAAAGTTATGCTATTGCTTTATACAGTGTATTATATACCTGAATTATACTCTTACAGATATACTTTTTTCTCTAAACTTAGCTTAAGATTTTTACGAGGCCTTTAAGTGTGCTGTTACTATTATGATGGTAACATATGTTATCATAGTAACATAATGAGATATCTTATGGACATATGCACATTCACAGAGTGTTGTGTACATTAACACCATATAATATAAGTACATTAATAAAGATTTGTATTAATAGATAACACATTAATTCAAATAGCTAACTGATCATAATGGAATTTTACTGCAGCTAGACCACGTGCCAAAAAGATCAATACCCTAGCGTGTGTGTTACATACTTTGTCTAACAGTTCATAATTAGCTGTTAAACAACTCTAAGTATGTAACACACATACATGTTTGTCAAATGTAATGATTTGATTTGACTGAAATGTCTTTTTCAGACAATATATGTTCATACAACTCAAATTAAACTTGAATACATTTCCTAGAAAGTACGTGACGTTTTTAATTTTGAAAAATAGCATTTCCCCCAATCATTCAGAAGGAAATCCTTGTATAATATCTTATTTTTCCCTTCTCTTTTTTAGCCAATGGCTACTCAAGATAATTGCGAGGAAGGCGACAATAAGAGCAATGACAACATGTGCAAAGGTATTTATTTTTGTGTGAAACGCAACAGAAGGCTTTTGATGAATTTTGATGATGTAATTGATATAGTTGTACAAAGAAGTGCTGTAAATGTGCATTGGTTTGTCTGTCTCAGAGGTCAAAGCGAGCCTTGCACACTCCACTGTGGCGTTGGTTGAGGAGGAGCCAGAGGAAATAGACCCGTGGGACATGCCGAAGCTGAAGGACACAGGGGTCCCATGGTCAGGTAAAGACTTGTAATGGAGCAATTATTACTAAGGTACAGTGTGGTCTTATCATTGTACTTTTGGAGGATAACGTGTGTCCTGATTAGATGTAGCCTACATGACCATGTAATACATTTACATGCCCGCTAAAGTATACATATCCTACTGTACATGTGACAAAGTGTACATAACATAACGCACATAACATTGTTACCAGAGATGGGGTCGTTACTAACAAAAAGTAATATATTACATTAAAAAAAAGTAATATATTACACTACTTCGTTACTCTCTACATAAAGTAACCCGTTACTTTACTCGTTACTTTACTCGCAGGGCCGGCCCGCCCCTCTCTACAGGCAGATCACACAGACTGCGGAGCACCTACAGTGAAGCGCGCCACAGTTTTGCCTCTGCGAGACTCCACTTGCACCCCCAATTACTATTGCATTAAGGAAGACATAACACAAGTCTTTCTTTTTATATGCTCTAAAATAGGCTACCAGCCTACCACAACAAGCTAACAGTCTGTGAAACGTCAAGACACTAAGTAATGAAACCAGTTCAAGACGCATTATTCTTATCATTCTTTATGAGCGCAGTAACGGTAAGGTATCTAATTACTTATTTATTTAGTATTCCATAACTTAGTAACAGAGATGGTCAAACTAAAGTGGTAGAGACATGGCAGAATTCCTACAAGGAAGCGGGACATTGAACTGTTCACCCGTGAGAGGGCGATCAACAAAAGAGAGCGAGCGGCCGCTTTGATTGATTGATTGATTGAAAAGTTTATTAACAGCTTGTATATTGGGTACAGTACAGTACAGCTCAAAACATACAATTGTTAAGGGGATGCAGACCAGAGAAAGACTTTCGTCTTGTTTACATCAGGGTCCCCCATTTCCAATTCATCATATCATTTAAGACATATAAGACATATTTGACATACAGATGGCTTATTTACAATTTACATACAGGTGGTTTTTTACATACAGATTGCTTATTTACAATTTTCATTTTAGATTTCGTTCTAATACATCCTAAACGGACATTTAAGACATACCAAGTCTACAGATATACAGTTAGTAACAGAGTCTAAAATGCGAGGGAGTTTACAGATGAAAAGACTCAGACATGTTTATGCAACACATCCTCACTCCCAGGTCGGCCTATGTTGACGTTATGTCAAGTCCCCTGTCGGCTTTTTCCAACGCAAGGGGGGGGGGGGGGCCTTAGCGTCCATTTTCAACGCAAGGGGGGGGGCCCTTAGCGTCCATTTTCAGCTTTCCGGGATGTCCATATGCTTCTATGGACGCTCATGGAAGCACGGCGTTCGTTTGTGTCGACTGCCCTTAAAGGCAATGTGAGCGTCCATTCTCATTGGATAACGGAGAATTGTACACCCGGAAGTAAGTATTCCCCTTACTGTCGATTGATTTTACAGTGATATCTGCACTACTCATCGACTAAAAAACACCAGATTATCCTTGTTAATTACACAACATTGATTGGTTTAAATTGTGTGCAATGCTTTTGTATTTTTCCCCTTCGATTCGGAGAAACAAATGTTTTTTCGGAGTAAAGGATGGCAGAAGACACTACACTACCCAGAATCCCCAGCTATCGTTTGGACTACACCATGTGCTCTGTTTGACAAACCCCGTGATAGTCCTCAAGCTCTGTGATTGGAGAGTCTGCTCCGAGGGTTACGCCGAGCCTCGAACAGCACTTGAAATGGGATGGAATCACGGCAGACTGTCCAAAACTGGATTTGAACGGGTCCACCGCGTCCCCCCTCCCCCACCCCGTCCCCAGAACTACAAATGCTGGCTATTCTGTTTCGCAACATGTTCTGTATCTATGGCACGTCTCTACTGGGAGTTGTAGTTTTAAAAGACGTTTTCGTATTTCCCATAATAAGAAGTTGCCAGTATTAAACTGTGTACATCCCTGGAGGTTTAGGGGATAGGAAACACTCACATTTAAAACATATAATTAATAAATGGGTGAAAATTGCTTGTGCCCATAATGGGCAGCATTAATATATATATACACACATGCCAGCTAAGGTCAGAAGAGCTTTATTTAACAGCTGGTCTCATAGCCGCGGGAAGTCATTTTGCTCAGGGGGTGCTGCCAAAAGTGAGGAGGGAGCTGCTTAAAAAAAAAAAAGAAGGCGGTGCCGGGCCGGGCCCAGCTGTCAGCGATACGAGCCGCATACATTGTTTGTTAAAGGCGAGACACTGCAGGCAAAAACATCGTTTTTCATGCACTGGTCAATTTTGAGATGTTGTACTATTTTGATTCCATAACATGTTTTCTTTAAGGCTTTTGGAAGTAAAACGTACAAAATACACATTTAAGTGTTCATTTTACTATAGTTGGTCTATTTGCGTCTGTATATTTCTCCTAAATTCACCAAAAGTTAGCATTCTAACCAGTGCTGGAATTGGGCCGGTACTCACCGGTACGCAGTACCGGCACTTCTGGTTCTGACCCATGGAGTACCGGCACTTCTTGCTCAGTACCGGCATGCTGGCGGTACTCCGGTACTCATGCACCGTGCCAGTACTCAACACTCTCCCGCCGTTCTTATTATACATCCATATATATATATACAGCCGCCCGGTACTCAGTAGATGCGTCATGAGGTGCCGAACGGACATTCTCATCGCTCTAACCGCTGGAGTTTCACAGCGGCTGTCAGCTGTTTACTCCTGTCATTCAAACAGAACGTGCTGGAGAGGGGGGCGGGGGCTTATCTTCTCCATGTAAATACTGTGGTGGAAACGACTATGTCAAAATTAACCTATTTGACCGTGATTTAATAGTAATACACGTTTCAAAATAATAATAATAATAATGCCGAAGTAACAACATACTGAAAACTGTTAGTAAAACCATGTTTTAATGCTTTACAATGTACATACCTAGATGCACGTGTGTTGTGTTTATGCAGTGCAACTCCCACCCAGTGGGTGGCTATGTAGAGTGATAGAACAGAGCAGGCACGCCCCCGAGAGAAGGAAAGCAAGTCACGTCACAAATTAGCATTTCTAAAATGTTAGCGTGGATTAATAAAAGTGCAAAAAGACAGCGGTTGTCGCCGGAAGAAACTTCAAATACAGAGAATGCTGTGCCTGTGTTGGAAATTGTGTCTGATGGGGAGCTTTCTTTGGTTGATCCTCCTGCTCCAAGTTCTAGTGCATTAGCATTAGCACTAGCTCCGCCGCCTCCTCCAGAGCCTCTAACGTTAGCTGCTGCTGGCTCAACTGCCACCACCAACACCGGGCAAAGCGATGCACCTGACTGCTGGACAACGGACCAGGTGCAATATTTTTGCAAGACCAATGCATGGCTCCTTCTTAAAGATAAGAAGCTAGGATGTCGGATATGCAGAGATGTCAAATCTTTGGGAATACACACTGGACAAGGACTGAAACTGTCAACTGAATGGGGTGAGTGTGCAGTGTCTCATTTCGGTGTTGACAAGGGCACACAACAAGCTAGCCTGAGAACAAAAATCAAAGAACATAAAGAATCACAAGCCCATGTAAAAGCTGCTGACATCCTTACATCTGCTTCACGTGAAACTATTCAACATCAAGTGCAGTCTATGCATAAATCTGAATTAGACACCACTATCAGAGTTTTTCGAACGGCATATAAAATTGGCAAACATAGCCGGCCATTCACAGACATGCCAATTGATTTGAATGTACAGAAACTGAATGGGCTGAACGTGGGCAGGGTTTTGCACTCCAATAAAACCTGTGGCGAAATCATCGACCACATAGCTCATGAGCTGAAGAAAAAAATGGCAAAAGACATTACAGAAAACCAAAGAAAACTCTGTGTTTTGGTCGATGCATCTACCACTATTAGTGGTAAAACGGTGCTTGTTGTGTGTCTACGTTCAGCATTAGCTGATGCTGAGCCCGAAACGTTTTTTTGGGAGCTGATCGAGTTGGATGGAACAACGGCTGATGACATCACAAAGGCGTTAATGGAGTGTCTTGGAAGAGATTTTAACGAGGACTTTTTAGGTCAGTGTTTCGTTTCTTTTGCATGTGATGGGGCTTCAGTCATGCTAGGGAAGAGAACAGGCGTTGCTACCCAGTTGTGTAGTAAATTCCCAAGCCTGTTTGTGTGGCACTGCTCCAATCATCGTCTAGAGCTGGCAGTTGGGGATGTGGTCAAGGAGGTCTCAGGGCTCAATCATTTCCAGATCTTTTTTGACAAACTCTATTCCTTGTTCCATGCCTCCCCCAAAAATCAGAGGCAGTTAGCGCAGTGTGCGCAAGCAGTCGGACAGCGTCTCCTGGTGATAGGGCGTGTTTTGTCCATCCGCTGGGTGGCTTCAAGTGAAAGGAGCGTCAGAGCAGTCTGGGAAAACTACCGAGTGCTTCATGATCACTTCACAAATGCTGCAAACGACACGAGCAGGGATTCCAGAGACAGAGCAAAGTACAAGGGCCTGGATGATGTGCTCACATCTGCAACGTTTGTCAGCAATCTGGGACTGATGTACGATGCGCTCACAGAGCTCAGCGACCTCTCTCGGCAACTCCAAAAAAGAGAGATGACACTGCCTACAGCAGATAGGCTCTTAACTCGAGAAATACGAGTTTTTGAATCCATGGTCACCATGCCTGGCCCACACATGACTACAGTTCATACAGCTCTTACTGAGAAGTCCTTCAAGGGTGTTGCCCTGCGTGAGAATGGCAGGCTTGTACAGATTCATGCAGGTCAGTTTTTCCGCAGTATGGTAGAGAATCTGAGACACAGAATGACTTCCACAACCTCCTCTCATGTCAGCACAAGAGAAATCCCATTACATGGCCGGGAGGCCCGGGACAATCAGCTAATCCAGGACATGAAAGTTATCCATCCTGGAAGTTGGCCTGAAGAGGAGTTAGACGTACAGTATGGGGACGTAGAGGTGCTACGTTTGTGCGAAGTGCTGAAAGTGGACAGAAGAGAGACTGTTCAGGGCTTTCGCGAATACAAGGAA